CAAACTTCAAATTACTTTAATATGTTTATCGATTAATACCTTATAGGTTTTTGTTTTTCTGAGACAGGGTCTGGCTCTGTCACCCAGCTGGAGTGCAGTGGAGCTATCTCAGCTGACTACAACCTCCCCCACTTCCATTCTCAAGCAATCCTCCCACCTCAGCTTCCTGAGTAGCTGTGGCACCAGGCTTGGCTAATTTTTTAAGATTTTTGTATAGGTGAGGTCTCACTAAATATTGCCCAGGCTGGTCTCAAACTCCTAGACTCAGGTGATCCTCCTACCTCAGCCTCCCAAAGTGCTGAGATTACAGGCATAAGCCACTGCACCCGGCCCTTTACAGTTTTTCTAGCATAGCTTATCTACACTTTTCCAAATTGTCTTCAGTTGCATTTTCTCATGCCTATAGATGGCAAACCACTGGGTCATTTTTAGTTCAACTCACTAGTAAATAAACATGCAAATAAGGACAAAATGCTGCCCTGGGGTTTAGAAGCAATCAGAGAGGAATGCCCTGCCTTTTAGCACCAAACAAACCAACAACCTCTTTATGTATGTATGTTTGTTTGTTTTTGTTAAGACAGGGTTTCACTCCTGTCACCCAGGCTGGAGTACAGTGGTGTGATCTAGGATCACTGCAACCTCCATCTCCCAGGCTCAAGTGATTCTCATGCCTCAGCCTCCAGAGTAGCTGGGACTACAGGCACATGCCACCCCACCCAGCTAATTTTTATTTATTTATTTTTTAATTCATGAACTATTTATTAAAATAACACATTTAGGGGAAAAAATCAATACAATGTCTACATCATCAGTGAAAACTATACCATCACACAAAAAAAGATTTTATTTGGAGAAACTTTTCTAATTTATGGCAAGTTTTACTTTCAGAAATAAAACTACAGAACAACACAATCTAATTCAATCTTAATGGCTGGCATGCTGAGCAAGGAATGTTCTTATTCTTTCTAGCTCCTTCTTTACACTGTCAGGTACCAGGGTTCTGCCTTTTGGAGTGATTTCAGCCACCAAGTCATCAACAGTAACGTGTTCTAGTCCTTGTTCTTTAATGACCTCTTTACAGTGTGCCTTCAACTGATCCTTCCAGCCTCATTCAATTAATTTAGCTCTCAGCAACTCTTTGAAGCGTTCTCTTTCTCCAGTTTCTATCAACTTTTGGTTAATCGCTTCTCTCATCTGTGCATCTTAGTTCATCTTGCTAACCACACTCTGGCTGCCCAGACTTAGACACTCAGTAGCTTGGGCACCTAAGCACACAGAAAGCTAGAACACGCATTTCCCAATTTTTGTGTTTTTAGTAAAGATGGGGTTTCACCATGTTGGCCAGGGTAGTCTCCAGCTGCTGAGCTCAGGTGATCTGCCTGCCTCAACCTCCCAAAGTGCTGGGATTACAGGTGTGAGTCAGTGCTCCTGGTCAACTTCTTTGTGTTTAAATACTGCTATCTTTCTTCCTGTCGTTGTGAAATGTCTATGTGTTAAAGAGTAGTTCTTACCTTTGTGCTGTGGATCCTACCTCCTTCGCTCCTGCATTTTTTTTGGTGGGGGAGGGGGGATGGGGTCTCGCTCTGTCACCCAGGCTGGAGTGCAGTGGCACGATCTCAGCTCACTGCAACCTCCGCGTCCCATGGACAATTAATAGCTCAAATTTAACACTGCCAAAAAACTTGACATTTTCTTCCCCCCTCCCTAAGTTTCCCTTGTCCCTCAGGGGACAACTCCCTGAGTTTCCCCAATCTCATGTCTAACCTCGTGTCTCTTGTTAAAAAAAATCTAGGATGCATCCTTGATTCCATCGTTTTCCTCACCACTCCATTAGGAAGTCCTACCTTCAGAATATCCTCTCACCAGCTCTACCTGTACTGCCCTAGTATTTCATCCCCCACCAGTTCTCACATTTACACTCTTACAAAACTCTCCTAATTCCTGTCCTTGCTTCTACACTTGCCCTATAACCCACTCTCTGCAAAGCAGTGATCTTTTCAAAATTTAAAGTAATCAGCCAGGCTAATCCCAGCACTTTGGGAGGCCGAGGTGGATGGATCACTTGAGGTCAGGAGGTCAAGACCAGCCTGGCCAACATGGCGAAACCCCATCTCTATTAAAAATACAAAAATTCGCCAAGCATGGTGGCACATGCTACTCAGCTACTCAGGAGGCTGAGGCAGGAGGATAACTTGAACTCGGGAGGCAGAGGTTGCAGTGCACCAAGGTCATGCCATTGCACTCCAGCCTGGGTGACATAGCAAAACTTAGAAGGAGAGAAGGAAGGTAGGGGAGGGAAGGGGAGGAGAGAGGAGGGGAAGGGAGGGAAGGAAAGGAAGGAATAGGAAGGAAGGGGAAGGAATGATAAGAAAGAAAAAAGAAGGAAAGAGAAGAAAAAGAGAAAGAAAAAGCAGGAAGGAGGGAGAAAGGAAAGGAAAGAAAAAGAAAGAGAGCGAGAAGGAAGGAAGGAGAGAAAGAGGCATGGGAAGGAGATCAGCCAGGCGCGCTGACTCACGCCTGTAATCCCAGCACTTTGGGAGGCCAAGGCGGGTGGGTCACCCGAGGTCGGGAGTTCGAGACAAGCCTGACCAGCACGGAGAAACCCCATCTCTACTGAAAATGCAAAATTAGCTGGGCATGGTAGCGTATGCCTGTAATCCCAGTTACTCGGGAGGCTGAGGCAGGAGATTCGCTTGAACCTGGGAGGCGGAGGTTGCGGTGAGCCAGATTGCACCATTGCACTCCAGCCTGGGCAACAAGAGTGAAACTCCATCTCCCCCCTCCAAAAAAAAAAAGAGATCAAATAATTACTCTACTTAACTACCCCTCCCCACTGGTTCCCATTGCTCTTAACAGTAAAATCCATTCTTAAACCAGGCACTGTGGCATGAGCCTGTAGTGCCAGCTACTCAGGAGATTAAGATGGGCGGATCACTTAAGCCCAGAAGTTCAAAGCCAGCTTGGGCAACACAGTGAGACCCCCCATCTCTCTCTTTTTTTTTTTTTCTTTTGGAGATGGAGTTTCGCTCTTGCTGCCGAGGCTGGAGTGCCGTGGCGTGATCTTGGCTCACAGCAACCTCCGCCTTCCAGGTTCAAGCGATTCTCCTGCCTTAGCCTCCCAAGTAGCTCGGATTACAGGCATATGCCACCACGCTAGGCTAATTTTTTGCTTTTTTTTTTTTTTTTTTGTATTTTTAGTAGAGACAGGGTTCCACCATGTTGGTCAGGCTGGTCTCGAACTCCTGACCTCAAGTGATCTACCCACCTCAGCCTCCCAAAGTGCTGGGATTGCAGGCATGAGCCCCCACGCCTGGCTGAGATCCCTATCTCCTAAAAAGAAAAAAAAAAAAAAAATCCCTGTTCTTTTTGAGACAGAGTGTCGTTCTGTCACCCAGGCTGGAATGCAATGATGCAATCTCAGCTTACTGCAACCTCCACCTCTCGGATTCAAGGAATTCTCAGCCTCCCGAGTGGCTGGGGTTAAAGGCGTGGCCACCACCCAGAGCACCTGGGCCAAAAAATCCATTCTTCACCCCGGTTTACAAAAGCCCTACATTATCTGGTCTTTGCTGCCCCCTCCAGCCTCATCTTGTACAGTCTCTCTTGGTTCCACGCTTCAACCACACTGGTTTTTCTCTTCACCAAGCTCACCAAGCTTGTTCCTTTATTAGGGTTTTGCAGTTTTTTTTTCACCAGGAAGGTTTTGCCCCAGACTTCACACAGCCATTCGAGTCTTAGTCCAAAATGTATGCTCAGGAAGGGCCTTTCCTGACCACCTAGTCGAAAGTAGCCTCTAGTCACTCTGTCTCATATCCCCCAAATTTAAGTCTCTGCATAGCACTTGCCTTTTTAAATGTGTTTATTCTATAATGTAAGCTCCATAAAACTTTTGTCTATCTTGTTCCCCATCTAGAATGGCTCCTGACAAACAGTAGGTCCTCAGTAAACATTTATGGAAAGAAGGAATGGATGAATGGCATCAGATACTTAAGTAATCCAAGTCCAAACCAGGGACACCAAACAATCATTTGCAAGAGATCGAAAAGAATGGGCTTTCCCAGCTTCTTACCACCTGAAAGCTCAAGTTATACTTTGACTTAGGGCCTAGTTCCAATCAAATAGACAAGAAGGATAGCTGTACTAGAAGGAAAATGAGCTATCTCTGGAAAATGATTAGATATGATGAAATCTCATTCCAAGGTTATCACCAGCCTCTAACTCCCCACAGTAAATCCAGCACTGACAGCAGATTTACCATCTATTTACCTAAGCGCAAAGGAAAGGGGAACTATCATAAGAACTCACAGCCAGGGCCAGGCGCGGTGGCTCACGCCTGTAATCCCAGCACTTTGGGGGGTCGAGGTGGGCGGATCACGAGGTCAGGAGATCGAGACCATCCTGGCTAACATGGTGAAACCCCGTCTCTACTAAAAATACAAAACAAAACAAAAAAATTAGCCGGGCACGGTGGCGGACGCTTGTGGTCCCAGCTACTCAGGAGACTGAGGCAGGAGAATTGCGTGAACCCGGAAGGTGAAGCTTGCAGTGAGCCGACATTACGCCACTGCACTCCAGCCTGGGCAGCAGAGCAAGCAGAGAGTCTCACACCTGTAATCCCAGCACTTTGGGAGGCCGAGGTGGGCAGATCATGAGGTCAGGAGTTTAAGACCAGCCTGGCCAACATAGTAAAACCCTGTCTCTACTAAAAAATATACAAAAAATTAGCTGGGCGTGGTAGCAGACACCTGTAACCCCAGCTACTTGGGAGGCTGAGACAGGAGAATTGCTAGAACCCAAGAGGCAGAGGTTGTGAGCCGAGATCGCGCCACTGCACTCCAGCCCGGGTGACAGTGCGAGACTCTGTCACAAAAAAAAAAAAACTCACTTGACTCACAGGTAGGTTTCTTGCTTTTCCCCTCCTCTAAGCATTTTAGCAATAAATCATTCCAATGATGTTTCTATAACACTTAGAGGAAAAAAAAATAAATTATACCAACTTCTATGACATGGCAAAAATATTTATTAAAATGATTTTTAAGTTTGAACTTTATTGGAAAGAGTCCCTCTAATTCACACTTTCATCCTAGATAAATGGGTAAGAACCCTATATGGAATATAAAGCATTGATTTTTAAAAACCACAAACTAGCACAGTGAAAGAAATGCAATTCTCCAGGGTCTTAGAGAATTCAAAGTGGCATCTTAGGTAGTCTAAGCAACCAGTTAGAGTCTCATGGTTTTCCTTTTGGTTCCAGATTAGAAGAGTCAGGTTACCACTACCTGTTTTTAGAGGTAGAATATGAACTTCTACTAGTCCACAGTTTACTGGTCAGGCGGCCCCAACAGAGTCTCTTATCTCAGCCCATCTGCCTCTAGGGGTGGCCAGAAGATCTCTGTCCCAGGCAGCAAGGCTTCCTGCTGATCTCTACTTCAGATCCATGAACCGGATGTCCATGATGAGAAGGAAGTTCTTAGGCAGTGGGCGGGGGGCTGGAGACAGAACAGTAAACACCTGATGCTCCAGGTCCACACTGGTCACCACAATGAAGCCAGCTACGCTCGTCTCAGACAGGTTCTCCTCTGTGCCCTCGGCAGTGCTAACACTCAGTAGGTGGTGCACCATATCTCGCCCAGGAGTGACGGGTACTAGCTTGAGCTGATTATCCTCTTGAGACATGCCCAAAGGTAAACAGGAGTCTGGGATGGTGGGTGCCCCAACTTTGTAGATTTTCACATCTGAAAATTTGACATTGAAGGCATGGGGATAGAAACAGCCTCGGAATCCATAAAAATACTCACGGATACGCTCATCCCTACATTCCCGCCGGAAGTCCTTGGAGCGCTCCACCACACCCCCAGATTTAGGGAGCAGCACGGTGCGTACAAAGTGGGGGAGGTCCCGTTTCAGTTCGTTGTACAGTCGTTCTTGATCCAGAACCACAACGACATCCACCTCAAAAGCTGAGGCTGCATGCACCAGAGCCTGGTAACCAGAGCCCTTGACCCAGCCACAGGTGTTAATGACACAGCCACTCACAGATGCCCTTCGGTTCACCTCACACCTTTGGTTGAACACATCTGCTAAACGAGATGTAATCTGCAAAAGAGAGGATCCAAGTAAGAACAAAAACACCCAGACAAACCCATGGCTACTTTGTTCCTCTTTAGAATAAGTTCTTTTAGATATAAGAAAAATGACTTTTTTTTTTTTTGAAATGGAGTCTCACTCTGTTGCCCAGGCTGGAGTGCAGTGGTGCGATCTCAGCTCACTGCAACCTCCACCTCCCGGGTTCCAGTGATTCTCCTGCCTCAGCCTCCTGAACAGCTGGGATTATAGGCACTGGCCACCATGCCCGGCTAATTTTTGTATTTTCAGTAGAGACGAGGTTTCGGTTTCACCATGTTGGCCAGGCTGCTCTCCAACTCCTGACCTCAGGTGATCCACCTGCCTCAGCCTCCCAGGTTGTGGGATTATAGGCATGAGCCACTGCACCCAGCCTGAAAAACTGACACTTTTAATGGCTGTAGTTTTGACAACATAACATGGATTTAATTTTTATGTTGCTGCTTCTACCTCCTGTATTATGCCGTAAGTAAAAATCTAACAAATTACTAAGAATAGATCCACAGAAATGTTTAACAATCTGAGACTGACTTATATTTGGAACTGCCTTTTCTGAAGTAATGCAGCAGAAATACCAGCTGAGAAAATGCAGTGTAAACTAGTAAACTTCCCCAGTTTCCTACCCTGATAGCAACCCTTCCCTCCACTTCACCTTTCTCTGGCTCTGACCTTATTATAAAGCTTGATGTTGGTGCCAGGAGTGGTGGAACCAAAATGATACACCAGAGGGGCCTGGATAGAGAAACCCTCTTCCACGTCTGCAGGCCGCTCAATGTAGAGGGCCCCCATGGTACCAGGGATGGACACAGAACCCTGGCCCACATCCAGCTCCACATAAGTGGGACGGCGGCCCAAACGCACTGCATAGTTGAGCAGAAGGCGACACACTGTAGACTTGCCCACATCAGTGGGGCCCACTACCATCACACGGGGACCTCGCTCTTCTTCCTTTTCCGCTTGCCTCCGCATCTGTTCCAAGGCTGTGTGAGTGTTGAGGTAAAGCAACATAGGAGTGTCCTTGGAGACATAAGCCACCTCAGTGCGGCCGCTCAGTTGCACAGAACAGCCATGCCAAGTGAAAACAGCCACCTTGGCACCAGCATCAAAGGTGAATTTCTTGTTTCGGGTCAGCTCTGTGCCAAAGATCTCTGCCATGCCAGTCAACAACTCCAACTGAACTGACTGAGATGCCTCCACCTCAAAGCGAAGTTCTGTTTCTCGCTCTAGTTCAAATTTAGTGGTTGGCTTCTTGTCATCATTAGCCTCTTCTCCCATCTCTTCTGTGTAGCTGCTGCTCCTAGAACACAAATTAAATATCAGACCCAATTGTAAGTCAGTCCTCTGTTACAAAAACATCCAGTGGGGCCAGGTGTGGTGGCTCATGCCTGTAATCCCAGCACTTTGGGAAGCTGAGGTGGCTGGACCACTTGAGGTCGGGAGTTTAAGACTAGCCTGGCCAACATGGTGAACCCCGTCTCTACTAAACATACAAAAAAAAAAAAAATTAGCCGAGCATGGTGGTGCGTGCCTGTAATCCTAGCTCTTTGGGATGCCAAGGCAGGAGAATCACTTGAACCCAGGTGGCAGAGGTTGCAGAGAGCCGAGATTGCACCACTGCACGCCAGCCTGGGCAACAGAGCAAGACTCCATCTCAAAAAAAGAAAAGAAAAGAAAAGAAATCATCCAATGGGCCAGGCACAGTGGCTTAGGCCTGTAATCCCAGCACTTTGGGGCACTGAGTTGGGCAGATCCCCTGAGCTCAAGAGTACAAGACCAGCCTGGGCAACATGGTGAAACCCCATCTCCACAAAAAATGCAAAAATTGGCCAGGCCTGGTGGCTCACGCCAGTAATCCTAGCACTTTGGGAGGCCAAGGTGGGCAGATCACCTGAGGTCACGAGTTCAAGACCCGCTTGGCCAACATGGTGAAATCTCGTCTTTACTAAAAAATACTAAAATTAGCCAGGCATGGTGGTGAGTGCCTGTTGTCCAAGCTACTCAGGAGACTGAGTCAGGAGAATCACTTGAACCTGGGAGGTGGAGGTTGCAGGGTTGCAGTGAGGCGAGATCGCACCACTGTACTCCCGCCTGGGCGACAGAGCTAGGCTCTGTCTCAAAACAAAACAAAACAAAACAAAACAAAACAAAAACATACAATGAATGTTTCCCCTTACCTTGCTTTAATTCTCTCCATATTTCTTATCACCATCTGTCTCACTATATATTATGTTTTCCCCGCCTTCCCATCCCAAAATGTAAGACTTGGGCATTTTTGTTTGCTACTGTATACTACTTAGAATAGAGCTTGACAGACTGTAGACACCTCAATACATTGCGTGAATTAATGTCTCAGACATCAGAGAAAAACCATACCTACAGATGGACAGAAGATTTAATTATATCACCCTCCATCACTCTATTGGTAAACTCCAGACTTGAGAAGGTAACAGATGCCCAGACCCCAATCATCTTAGTCAACAGGAAAGGGCGTCTGCAATACGGATGCAAAGCAAAGAACACCGGGTTTGAACTCAGAAAACAGCATAAGCCTCGGCTCTGTAACTACTAGTAGTGTCTTTAGACAATCACTTAACTTCTCTGAACCTTTGAAGCTGTCGACTGGAAAGCACTTACACTTCCTCAAATACAGTGTTGTTCTTGGTGTTTATAGGAATTGTGGGAGGAAAAAAAAGCACTTCGTAAACTAGAAAACGACAAGGAAACGATATGAATCATTTCTGATTCTGGACTGCAGCTCTAGGTTCAGCATTTGTCCCAACCTCCCCAGACACCAAAATCTCCCCGGACCACAAGGAGGCGACAGTTGCGTTCCTGCCCTTTTTTAACTCACCTGCGCAGCCAGGAGCCCAACAGGTAAACCCAGAAGGTCCTCCAGTGCAGAACTTAAACCAAACTACAAGCGCTTCTTGCCCAGACCCACGCCGGAAACAAACGCAGTTCCGCACTTGCGCTATGAAAGGACACGCGGTCGCACGCTGCCCTTTGGGACGTGTAGTTTGCCGGAATAGCCGAGAGCGGGTGCACTCGCTAAGCCGCTCGGCCTTCTGGGAGTTGTAGTCAAAGGATTGTTTTGAACTTGACGCCAAGGGTGGGAGGGGCGGCGGCCGTCATTATTCGTGAGGCCGGAGGGAGGGGTGAGGAGGCGTGGCGGTTGCGCCCCCGCGCTGGGCAGCGACAGGTCGAGGGACCTGGCTTCGGCAGTGCGCGTCCGCGGCGGGAATCTCGCCCCAGATTTCCTGCTCCCCTGCAGCGCAGGAAAGAGAAGGGAGGCCCGGAAGAGAGGGGGACTTACTGTCTAGGTCTAGGTCCCGCGACGGCCTGCTTGCCTGGACAAGCCACGAAGCACAAAATCCTGTTTGGGCAGGGGGAAACCTAGGGGTAGGGAAAGCGGAGGAAAGCAGCCCGACAGAGGTTGCACCGAGTAGTTGTCTCCCACCTTACACAGTGCTTGGCACATGGAAGGCATTTCAAAATTTTTTTCTTTAATAAAAGAATAAAAATCCGATGATTTCTTCCAGCTACAAGTCAGTCATTACCCAACAACCTCTCTCCCACTAAACGAGGATTTTTGTTGGCCACTCATTTCCCTCCATAAATCTCTGACAGTTACAGGTCAGTCATTTGCCCCTCAGCCAACAGGTTCCACCACGTCTATAATCCTCTTTTTACTAACTTGGGTTTTGGAATCTTATATTATTTGCTATACTGCTTACATCACTGTGTGACTTTGAGCAAATCACAGGCTTCATCTCTCTGAGATCCTTTTTTGTTTGTTTGTTTTTCTTTTTATTTTTGAGACAGCGTCTCACTCTCTCGCCCAGGCTGGAGCACAGTGCAGCGAACATGGCTCACTGCAGCCTCGACCTCCTGGGCTCAAGCATGACATCGTTTTTTGTCTGCAAAGTGGGGATAATAACAATGCCCAACCTAAAGTTGTTTTGACGATTGCAGGAATGTGCCTGTAAAGTACTAAGTACAATGTCTGTAATACAGAAAAATCTGATGTCAGCTTTTACGTTTTTATTATAGGCTGGGGGGAAGGGACTGTAATACCATTCATTCGTGCAATACTTAACATTTTTCAGATCCCTTTCAGGCATCTTCTTTCACAGCCGCCCTGTAAAGTCAACTTTATTACATCCAATTTCAGATGGGGGAGGAGACTAAGATAGGTGTAGGGATTTGCCCAAACATTAACATAACTGAGTCCAGTTATGATAATAGTAAACATTTAAGCTGGGCGCGGTGGCTCACGCTTGCAATCCCAGCACTTTGGAAGGCCGAGACGGGCCGATCACCTGAGGTCAGGAGCTCGAGACCAGTCTGACCAACATGGTGAAACCCCATCTCTACTAAAAATAGAAAAATTAGCTAGGCGTGGTGGCAGGCGCCTGTAATCCCAGCTACTGGGGAGGCTGAGGCAGGAGAATCGCTTGAACCCGGGAGGCAGAGGTTGCAGTGAACCAAGATCAAGTCACTGCACACCAACCTAGGCAACAGAGCGAGGTTCTGTCTCAAAAAAACAAACATATTTATATACTTTTATATGCCAGATACTGGTCTATGGACTTTTCAGGTGTAAATTCATTTAATCATCGCCAGAATCCTATGCAGTAGGTACTGTAATTGTCATCTTCACTTTACACGTGAGTACTTTTTTCAGTCCTGCTCACGTAGTTAAATCATATTGAGGAGACTGGGAAGATTTTCTGGTTGGTTCGCCGGGAAGATTTTCTCCTGCTGGTCCTACTTAGCAGCACTCCCCAAGCAGTGCCATCCTCACTTGTCACTTCTGAGTTTTCTTTGATGGTTTGCTTTAATTATTTCATTCATTCAACATGTATGCCTTAGCTTTTTTTTTTTTTTTTTTTGAGATGGGGTTTTGCTCTGTTGCCCAGGGTAGAGTGAAGTTGTGCAATTTCAGCTCATTGCAACCTCTGCCTCCTGGGTTCAGGTGATTCTCCTGCCTCAGCCTCCCAAGTAGCTTGGATTACAGGCACGTGTCACCATGCCCAGCTAATTTTTGTATTTTTACTAGAGATGGGGTTTTCACCATCAAGTGATCAGCCCGCCTTGGCCTCCCAAAGTGCTGGGAATACAGGCATGAGCCACCATGCCCAGCCTATGCATTAGTTTTTCAATTAACTATTGGGTGTCCCCTAATCTTCTCTTCTTTAAAAATTCAGTTCCAGTCTTCCATCTGCAAATTTTCTCCCTGAGTGGGCTTATCCTCGCCTTTTTCCATGCAATCTATCTCCCAGATCTGTTTCTTCGCCTCTACTGTCTCCCTTGAGGCAGTTTCTCCCAGTTACCTGAAAGTCATTTTTATTTGGATATTGTATAACCATCTCAAGCTGAACTTAGGGGAAAAAACCCCTCCCTTCCTTTAGACTGCTCTCCATTTTGCTTCTAAAATACAGAAAGAGTCAGGACACAACATTTAAAGCATCTGTGCTTGACTACACTCTCTTCTCTCACCTTTTTTTAAATTGTTATTTTGAAATGGAGTCTTACTCTATCTCCCAGACTGGATTGCAGTGGTGCAATCTCAGCTCACTGCAACCTCCATCTCCCGGATTCAAGCTTTTCTCCTGCCTCAGCCTCCCAAGTAGCTGAGATTACAGGCTTCCACCACCGCACCTGGCTAGTTTTTCTATTTTTAGTAGAGACAGGGTTTCACCATGTTGGTCAGGCTGGTCTCGAACTCCTGACCTCAGGTGATCCATCTACCTCGGTCTCCCAAAGTGTTGGGATTACAGGCATGAGCCACAGCACCCAGCTCTTTTCTCAGTTTGAATCTTTCACCAAGCACTCCTGCCATCTCCACCCCACCCCCAAACAATACTGTCATCATATGTTCTTATTCTCCTCTCCAACTAGATCCTTGATCATTTTCTTTTTGCTTCCAAACTTTCTTTCTCTCTCCCTTCCTCCCTTCCTCTCTGTCTCTCTGTCTCTCTGTCTCTCTGTCTCTCTTTCTCTCTTTCTCTCTTTCTGAGACATAATTTCGCTCTTGTTGCCCAGGCTGGAGTGAAGTGGCATGATCTCGGCTCACTGCAGCCTGCACCTTACGGGTTCAAGCAATTCTCCCGCCTCATCCCTCCCAAGGAGCTGAGATTACAGGCATCCGCCACCATGCCCAGCTAATTTTTGTACTTTTAGTAGAGAAGGGGTTTTGTCATGTTAGCCACGATGGTATCGAACTCCTGACCTAAGGTGATCTACCCGCCTCAGCCTCCCAAAGTGCTGGGATTACAGGCATGAGCCACTGTGCCCAGCCTGCTTCCAAATTTTCAATCTGAGCTGGGCCCAGTGGCTCACGCCTGTAATCCCAGCACCTCAGGAGGCCAGGGTGGGTGGATCACTTGAGGTCAGGAGTTTGAGACCAGCATGACCAATATGGCGAAATCCCGTCTCTACTAAAAACACAAAAATTAGCCAGGCATGGTGGCGCGTGCCTGTAATCCCAGCTACTCAGGAAGGTGAGGTGGGAGAATCACTTGAACCCAGGAGGTGGAGGTTGCAGTGATTCGCAATCACGCCATTGCACTCCAGCCTGGGAAACAGAGCGAGCTTCCATTTCAGAAAACAAACAAAACAAAATAACTTTCGATCCATGCCCTGAAAACTAACCATCTGCCTTTTCCCACTTCTCATTGTTCTCCTCAACAATTGCTTTTCAAATTCTTTTTCTACTTTTATTTCCCCTCTCTTCTGTTGCCCAAACAAGAGCACTTCTCTATTCTTTCTTTACCTAGCTTTTTCTCTCAATTCCAAATCTCTGGTACTATCCCTCAAGACACCCACGTTGTCTTTTCAGAATTTACTTTAAACCCCAGAATCTTCCCTGATTAAATATTTAGAATTTCTTTTTATTTTCATGCTCAACTAGCAATGTCTCCCACTACCCATATTTCCCTGCCTTAACTTTTTTTCCCCTCTTTACGTGTGAGAAGAAAAACAAACCACCCACAAGCACTGCTTTCTAGACATCCCTATCTTTGTCGTACTTCATTTGCTAAATGCTAGCCTCTGTTAGAAATCAGGGTTTTTGTCTTAGGGGATATGTTCTGTGGTCTCGAACTCCTGACTTCAGGTGATTCGCCCGCCTCGGCCTTCCAAAGTGCTGGGATTACAAGATGTGAGCCACTGCACCCAGCCAAGAATGCTGGGGTTTTTTGTTTGTTTGTTTTTGTTTTTGTTTTGTTTTGTTTTTGAAACAGAGTCTCGCTGTCACCAGGCTGGCTGGAGCACAGCGGCGCGATCTCAACTCACTGCAACCTCCAACTTCCTGTTCAAGCGGTTCTCCTGCCTCAGGCTCTCGAGTAGCTGGGATTACAGACACGTGTCGCCATGTCCAGCTAATTTTTGTATTTTTATTAGGGAAGGGGTTTCGCCATGTTGGCCAGGATGGTCTCGATCTCCTGACCTAGTGATCCTCCTGCCTCAGTCTCCCAAAGTGCTGGGATTACAGGCGTGAACTACTGTACCTGGCGAGAATGCTGTTTTGTTTTTGGTTTTGTTTTTGTTTTTTTGAGACGGAGTCTTGCTTTGTCGCCCAGGTTGGAGGGAAGTGGCGCCATCTCAGCTCACTGCAAGCTCCGCCTCCCGGGTTCACGCCATTCTCCTGCCTCAGCCTCCAAGTGGCTGGGACTACAGGCACGCACCACCACGCCCGGCTAATTTTTTGTATTTTTAGTAGAGACGGGTTTCACCGTGTTAGCCAGGATGGTCTCGATCTCCTGACCTTGTGATCCGCCCGCCTCGGCCTCCCAAAGTGCTGGGATTACAGGCGTGAGCCACCACGCCCGGCGAGAATGCTGTTTTGAAATGACACTAGGGTTTACTGCCTATCATGTGCCAGGCACTTTTCAGGCATTTAAATGTTATATCACTTTAGTTTACATCTCCATGAGGTAAATATTATTAACTTCATTTAGCAGAAGAGTAAGACTAAGGCACAAAGAGTATCAGTAATTTGCCTAGTGGCTCCTGCCGAGTAATTGGCACAGCTAAGATTCTAATTCAGTCTCTTTGAAGCCAAAGCCAGACACTTGGTTCATGTCTGAAGATGCAACTCAACCACTCTGTTAATCAGGGTTCTCTAGAGGGACAGAATTAATGGGATAGATGTATACATAAGTCGGAGTTATTACAGAATATTGACTCACATGATCACAAGGTACGGTCCCACAGTAGGCTGTCTGCAAGCTGAGGAGCAAGGAAGCCAGTCCGAATCCCAAAGTTGAAGACCTTGGAGTTCGATGTTCGAGGGCAAGAAGTGTCCAGCATGGGAGAAAGATGTAGGCTCAGAGGCTAAACCAGTCTGGTCTTTCCACGTTCTTCTATCTGCTTTTATTCTGGCTCAGTTGATTAGATCGTGCCCACCCAGATTGAGGATGGGTCTGCCTTTCCCAGTCCATTGACTCAAATGTTAATCACCTTTGGCAACACCCTCACAGACACACCCAGGAACAATTCTTTGCATCTTTCAATCCAATCAAGTTGACAATATTAACCATCACAAGTCCACCCGTTGTCAACTTGAACCCATACACGTCTCCTGAAATCATACATAATCTTCAAATAAAGACAATAATAAGGTCATAATTACGCTTAACATAATACAGCTATCCTTCGCACAACCGGAAACACACCAATCCCCAACCCAAATGCTATTACATAGAGGTAACAACACTTAAATGCTGATATCAAGTCAGTAAGTCTTATGTCACATGATAAAGGCAAAAGAAAGGAAATAAAATGAAGATATTTTCTTAGTACAAGTGTATATATGCACAAACATGTTCCTAACAAAAGGAGGAGGCAATACTCATGACAATTACAGTCTTCATGTCTGCAACTGGTCACGTGGTCATAGCTCGTATTGATGACTACTTTCTTTGACTACCCATTCTGTATTCCGTTTGCCTTCAGCTAGCACCTCAGCAGATTATGTTTTTTTAACCTGGTGGAGTGACCCAAACCTTGATTCCTGAAGGGTCTGGGCTGTTTGTAATCCTGCCTGGATTGGGCTGTTATAGTTTCCCATTGACCTTAATCACAGGGCATGGTAATATTAAGAGACACCCTATGGGATCTCCTGTATTCCATGCATACTTCCTTACCTCCATTGTGGAGCAGTAGACTGATTTCATCTTGATAGTCTGGGTCAGTCACCCCAGCCAACACTGTAACTCCCTTCTTAGCTAGTTGACTTAAAGGTAAGAAGAACCCAAAGTGGACAGGTGGCAATCTTAACTTCCAGTTTAATGGAATCATTGTTGTGTCTCTTGGTGGCAGCGTTCCTCCCTCTGGAACTAAGACCTCTAGGCCAGCAGAACATAATGCCGCGGAAACAACTGCTATTTTGGAAACATCTAAATGCATGGGTCTGTACTAGGCATTGCGGTCCTGGGATGTAGAGAGGAATTTCCCAGAAGGCCTGTCTCAGGAAGTTTACAGCCCAATAGAAAATTTCATATAATGTAGGTGTCTCCATTCATGAAGCACACATAATTTGGAGGTAGCTGTTAAGAGGTTTCTGCATGCAAAATGTCATATTGGGTCTATGACTCCTTCAGGAGTATTAAACTGAGGCTTTAAGGCTTGGTACAAGTTTTGGGGCACGGTTTGCCATCCATGACAATTAGTACATCTGTCTTTTCCCTGCTTCAGGGCTGGTGTCCAAGCTGAAATGGGAAAGTGTATCATCTTAAATGTGTGTGTGCTGCCTCACTCTGCATCCATATCTTCCTTCACCAGCCTTGCCACCTCCTTTCCTCCAGCCCTGCCACCCTCACTGCATCTTTGCCCAGCCCTGTCTTCCCCCAGGTTCTTCCTATCTCCTTGGCCACACTGCCTTCCTCCTTAACAACTTGCCTCTCCCCTTGCCCACCATCGCCACCGCGTCCCTCGGCCCCCACTCCTCTAGCCCCGTCCTTTGATGCCTGCCCCCTCCCTTCCTTCCGACCCGCCTCCTGTGTCTCCCAGCCCTGCTCTGACGTGGGAGGTGAGGGGGGGTGGGGGGATGGATGACTCACAGTGTTATGATGCAGTTCCACAACACACAGCCACATTCACCCACAGACCGAGGTACAGAACGAGACAACCTCTGCCCCCCCAGCAGCTGGCCAGCTTTGCAGCCCCAGTCTTGAGTCCCCAACTACCCTCCCCCCACCCACCCCCATCCCCTTCCCAGTTGAAGGAGCGGAAAGAGAAGAGAGAAGAGTGAGCAGAGAGATTGAGAGATTGAGAGAGAGAGAGAGAGAGATAGACGGAGATCTCTGGAGCAGACCTCAAGGTGAGGGGGCAGCCCTTCTCCAAATGAATTTTTTTTCTCTTTGCAAATTTCCTCCTCCTGCTGCGTGTTGCTTTCTCCCCTTTGCAAAAGCATTATTCATCCACCCTTTGTCCTCCCTTCCCCCTCCCTGCTGCCTCCGCTCCTCTCTCTCGGTTCTTCCATCCCTCTCCAAGCTCTGACGATTCCAGCACTTATTTCCCGGCAACTTTGGCTGTAGCATCAGGCATTACTGTTTATTGTTTTGCTGCTGGTGCAGACCCCCAAAGCCTGCCCTGGGAGCTGGCAGTGCTGCTAATTATTTGGACCATACCATACTGAGAATACCAGCCCGGGGGGTGCCAAAACCTCAGAGCAGATGAGAAAATCCATTGTGAGCAGGTGTCCCCCTCCCTTTCTTTCCCCCCTAAGAAGCACGAGATTCGCACCTGGTTCCTCCAGCCTCTGCCTCGGCGCCTCTGTTGTCAGCTGTCAGTTGCCCCCGCCAGCCCTCCCTCTCCCCTTCCTCCCACGGTCCAGCCCCATCTCACTTCAGGGGAACATCTCTCCCCAGCACTCGGCTTGCCTTTGTTTTTTCTCCAGTCATTTGCCCAACTTGCTTCTCCCTGTGATCCGAGATGGGTGAAAAAATGACCCCTACTCCCCTTTCTGTGATTCTCTGGCCTTCCTTGCAGCCTCTCCTTGGCTTGACTGGGAATTAGGGGAGAGGGAGGGAGGCGTGACGGCCGGAGGCTGGAGAAGGAGCCCAAGATTGGGGACCCAAGCTGCCCCGTTCCCCATGCCCCTTAAAGGTGTTTCAAGGTAGTGCATGTCAGAGGGGAACTCGCAGGCAAAGTTGAAGGCAGACCTGTGAAGCAGAGACTGAAAGGTGGTCTCTTGGCAAGGAGGGCCCGTTTCCTGCAGCCGGAGCCCAATGTCACCCTGAACTCAGCCCAAGGTGTTTTCCTGGGGCCCAGCCAGGAGGAGAGGACCTGAAACTGAAGATAGTCTCTATGGAGGTTTTGTGGAGAGACTGCCTGGCGGCCTTCAGAGAGTGGAACAGCTGGGTGCTTGTGGCCACTGCGGAGGACAGGACGAGGACAGTCTGTATGCCCTGGCTAACCGCAGCCAACACTGCCTCGCCTCTGCTTAGTGCTCTAGCATTGCCAGAGTGCCCAGCTGGCATCTCTGAACCAGACTTAGGCTAACCACCCACAGCGGGCTGGGAGCTCTATGAAGCAGAAAGCAGCAGTTCACCTGCTTATCGGAGCCCACAGGGGCCACCTCCCTTCTTATCCTCTCCTCCAGCACCTTCAGCCACTCGGAAGCTGGCGCGTGGGCAGAAGGCAATCTTCCTCTATTCCTAATCAGAACCCAGCAATTACTTCATCTTCAGTCACCCACAGTCACTGCTGTTTGTCCCTGCCCCCTGGGAGAAGGTAGAAACATTTTCTGCCTTGTGCCCCAAAGCACAGCTGTTAAAAATAAGAGTCCTCCTTCTGCTGTTCGTTGTGGCCGTTGCTCTCACCCTACCACACAGCCCTGCCCAGCCCAGGAATCAGGCTCCTCTGACACGCTACCCATTTCCCATTGGCTCCAGCTGTCAGATTGCCTGAAGAAAATGTATTTTCTGCCTAAGTCTTTAACCAAGGGCTAAGGCAACAGTTAGTAAAGAATAGGAAAGAGAAAGACCAAGGGGTCCAGAGGCTGGGAAGACAGGCAGGTGCTTATCCTGGGCCAGAATGAGTGAACCAAGGTGCGGGAATGGGCGGCCACATGTGAGGGCTTTGGTACTGCTGGAAACAACTATAAAGTTCTAGTGAAGAGTCCCAGAGCGCAGGACCCTGACCTCAGGAGAGAACTGAATCAGGGTTTGTATACCTGCCTGCATGCTCCTCCTCCCCTCACCTTACACCTCCCCCGCCAAAAATGTATAAAGGATCAATTGTATTGCAAACAAAGGCCATGTAAAAGAAAGACCTTCAGGCATCCCCAACTCTTAAAAGACTCTGATCCCCGGAGACACAGTGCCTACCAATGCCTGTGCGATGCAGAGCCTCACGAAGAACTGAAAACCAAGGAGAGGGCACTTGCAGATGACGTTGCTCCCATGGCAGCGTCTGTGCCCGTGGGCTTCTCTCTGTGGAAAATGGTGGAGGCTGCTTCTGCCCCAGGAGGGAGAAACACAGAAGCCTGGATCGGCTGCCAGGTTTGCCAGAGCAGGATGGGGATCCAGGGGACAGGGCAACAATGCAACTGGATGCCGAGGGGGGATCGATGGTGATGGGGGAAGTAGAGGTATGGGTGAGCTGAGCCCCTTTTCCTCCATTCCCTCAGGAGGGGCCCTCCTGAGGTCATGGCTCCCCTGATGTCCTTTCCCCTCTTCCCAGGTGACTTCTATTTCTATCTGGTTCTCGTCTGGGGGGGCCCTCGCCGGGCAGCCCCCCAACACTTCTCCTGCCCTGAAACACGGCTCTAGCCAACCTGCTCCGCTGCTTCACCTGCGACCGTCTCTGCGGGGGCTGCACGGCGCCAGCCCCTCCAGCCCGCCAGGGCATTGTCCTCCAGCCCGTCATGCCCAGCTGTGACCCCGGTCCAGGCCCTGCCTGCCTCCCCACCAAGACTTTCCGCAGCTACCTGCCCCGCTGCCACCGCACTTACAGCTGTGTCCACTGCCGTGCACACCTGGCCAAACACGATGAGCTTATTTCCAAGGTACGTGAAGCGAGGACCTGCCATTCCCCTCTTCTCGCGCACCAGGCTAGCCTGAACATCACCCAGGGGTGAGGCAGCGAAGCTCTTCCTCTCTCCCACACACCCCTGCGGAGATTCAGGCAGTGGGGCTGAGGGCTGCTTGGTAGTCACTGTCTGTCCTATGTCTCCACAGTCCTTCCAAGGGAGCCATGGCCGAGCCTACCTGTTTAACTCCGTGTGAGTCTACCTCTTTCCTTGTGCGTGTGCTTGTGCTTATGTGTGAGTGAGTAATTTCCCTGTGGAGAAAGGGGGGAATCCATAAGGTGATCTTGTGCCTTCAGTCTTTGCCTCCCCTTTTGCAAAGGGGTTCTCAGTCTGAAGTTCTCACATGGGGAGCCCAGGGAGAATTGAAATCATAACGTTGGAAAAAGAAGGCCCAGGCTCTAGTCTTAAAGGGGTGAATTATCAAAGGCAGGGGCTGTCCAGTTCTCTCCAGTTGGAAGTTCCCTTGGGCTATCTGGGGACTGGACTGACAGTGCAATCCCACTGGGTGCTGGGTCCTTCCTGTTTCCTGAGACAGGGTCAACGTGGGTTGCGGGCCAGCTGAACAGCGCCTCTTGCTCACGGGGCTCCACTCGGTAGCTGATATTTTCTGTGAGAGCTGCAAAACCACACTGGGCTGGAAATATGTAAGTACCTGAGGAAGAGGGTCACCCTCTAAAGTGGAAGTCCCCACAGCCCTTCAAGCCCCAGTGACCACATCAGGTCCTTGCATGGTCCAAAGAGGAAAGAAAGAACTAGTTACTGGGTTGGGCTAGGTGGATGAGCCTTGGGGTGGGGGCCATACAGGTGGCAGTGGGGCCTGGAAGGAAACTGCTTTGTCCTACAATCACTGCTTTCTCCTTCACCAGGAACAAGCTTTTGAGACGAGCCAGAAGTACAAGGAAGGGAAATATATCATTGAAATGTCACACATGGTGAAGGACAACGGCTGGGACTGAGGGGCTCAGGCAGGCTGTGCCCTTCCTCCGCATGCCCCTCCCTCCCCACGGCCCTGCCAAGCAGTCTATACCAGCATGAGTACTGCCCCACCCCTGGGGGAAACCTGGCTCCAACCAACCCCTCCCCTGCCTCCACCATATCCACTACCAGGCACCCTTTGGAACAGGGGTCTGGGTGTACCCCAGGGGTGTTAAGGCTCAGGAGTGGGCAGCAGTCAGGGAGAGACAGAACTGGGGGAAAGGGTTGGTTGTGGGTCCTTCTGTTCCCAAGTTCCTGAAAGTTGAGGCAATGGCAGGGCGTAGACTCAGGCAGAGAGGATTGTGGGAGGAATCCGTTTTTGCTCCACCTCTTTTTGAGTGAACAGAGGACGAACCTTGGGTCACGGGGCTAGTAGATCGTGGACCACAGAACAGCAAATGAGAAAAAGCTTGGGTTGGAGTGAAATTTTGGTCTCAGGCAGCAGAACAGACCAGAGTCTCTGAGGATGAAGTTTCCCACCCCTATTTGTAGGGAAAACGACTCACGTGCAGGGAAAACTCAAATCCCAGGCCCTGGGAAATAGTAAAAGAATCAAAGGGGTTTCCATTTCACTCCACTTGTCAGTTTATCTTGGCACTAAAGAGGCACTTTCGAATATCTAACTTTTGCCGTTGGATGGGGTAGGGACAGCTGCACGCGGAACAGCCCCCACCCCCAGTCGGCTGCTTCCAGAACAAGCAGTCTTTATGGGCTTTCTCTGAGGCCCAGTCACTGCTCCTGGGACCCAGTCCCCTGGAGGGGAGGTGGAAAATCAGTGCTACGGGTCCAGTCTTTCCCGTGGCTGCCACCAGCGAATGAAACTTTTGTATGATACATAAAGTGCTTGGGTCTATTTTTAATAAAAAGGGAAAAAGCAACTTGAGGCAACCTGTCCTCTGACTTTCTTTCCCCATGCATGTACCCATAACTGTCCCCGTCACACACAACTCCCCACCCACCCACCCGGGCCTGTCCCTTTAGACCACTAGGGGGCAGCAGTTGCCGTATCCATGGCAAGACTACTGCTTGAGCTTTTACCAGAGGATAAACTTCAGGTGAGATTTTGCCTAGTAAGAGGGGTGCGTTTTGTGAGCTATTCCATCGAGAGCATCCAAAACCCCTTCTGTCTGCTGGCACCCCTGACAGTAAGTCCATTTTTGCCTAGATCCAGGATTGGGCAACTGAAAGAGGCTCATCTCAGAATAAGGATTTTCTTGAGTCCCATGGCTTTTCAGCCCGGTTCTGTAATGTTCTGGTCAGTTCATGGGCACACTTAAGGCTAAAAGGAAAATCAATCAGCCAAAGTGCTGCCCTGGCAGTTGATGGGAAGTGAAACAAAATAGCTCAAAAATTAGGCCGGGCACGATGGCTCACGCCTGCAATTCCAGCACTTTGAGAGGCCAAGGCTGGTGAATCACCTGATGTCAGGAGTTTGAGACCAGCCCGACCAACGTGGTGAAACCGTTTCTACTAAAAATTCAAAAATTAGCCAGGCATGATGGCACGTGCCTGCAATCCCAGCTACTCTGGAGGCTGAGGCAGGAGAATCGCTTGAACCCAGGAGGTAGAGGTTGCAGTGAGCCAAGATCATGCTGTTGCACTCCAGCCTGGCAACAGGGCGAGACTCCGTCTCAAAAAGAAAAGCTCAAAACCGCAACGTCAATGCCACCGTGTGGCCCGAGGGGCATTTTATTGGCAGTGACATGAAATCCCTACTGTTGTTGGGTGCCCAACAGTTACAGGGGAGACCATATACATCATAAAGATCACTTTTTGGTAAGCTATAATATTCTTTCCAGATTCATTCATTAATACTCCAAATATTTATAAAGCACCTATTACTTGCCAGGCATTGTGTTAAACACTGGATGTTAAGCACATGGCGAAGATAAGGCAGCTGTGGCCTGACTTCCTTGAGCTTTCTGTCCAGTAGGAGATGCAATAACCAGGCAATCCCTGTAGAAGAGGATAATAAGGGCTCTAAGCAGGGACGCAGAGGAAGCTTGGGAGCTCATAGGAAAGGAACTCAGCCTAGATTTAAGGAGTCAAGGAAGGCTTCACAAAAGTGATGACTACGATGGCATTTGAAAGATAAGAAGTTAGGTGGCAAAGGCAAAAGTGATAGAAGTATTTCAAACAGAGGGAACTGTATGTGTCGGGTAACTTACGTTTAGTTAGTTGAAGGAAATAAAAGTTTCTTGTGGGCTGAAAGCAGTGGCTCATGCCTTAATTCCAGCACTTTAGGAAGCCAAGCCTGGAGGCTTGAGGCCAAAGTTTTGAGTTTAGACTGGGCAATATAGCAAGATCTTGTCTCAATAAAAAGAGCCATACCCGCACCTGTAGTCTCGATTACTCAGGAGGCTGAGCAGGAGGATCACTTGAGCCCAGGAGGCCGAAGCTGCAGTGAGCCATGATCACGTCACTGCACTCCAGACTGGGGAACAGAGCAAAACTTTGTCTCCTTAAAAAAAAATTGCCTGTGGCTGGAGTATAGGCAGCAAGTGGGTGAGAGATGAGATGAAAGACAAGCAGGAACCATAAACTATTTAGGGAATCTAGATTTTATCCCAATGGTATTAGGGAAATATGGAAAAATTATTGTTTTTTTAAAGTGGAGTGGCAGTATCAAATGGCTATTTGTGCCCAGACAAGAGGCTCAAATAGAAGTTTTAATAGACTGAAGAAAGTAAGGAACATATGGAAGGGCACAGTGGCTCACACCCATAATCCCAGAATTTTGGGAGGCTGAGGTGGGCAATCACTTGAGTCCAAGAGTTTGAGACCAGCTTGGGCAACAAAAATTAGCCAGGCGTGGTGGCGCATGCCTGTAATCCCAGCTACTCAGGAGGCTGAGGCAGGAGAATCACTTGAACCCATGAGGCAGAGGTTGCAGTGGGCCGAGATCATGCCACTGCACTCCAGCCTGGGCGACACAGCGAGATTCTGTCTTAAAAAAAAAAAACAAAAGAACAAAAAACGGAGAGGCTGTCTGGGCAGGAGGAAGGAGGACTAGAACTGGAAGGCGCATAAGTAAAAGGCGAAGGGAAAAAGGCAAGCCATGGAGAAATGTCCAACATCCCCCAACTAAGGCCTTTGGGTAGCCTGACCTATCTTTCGGTTTCTGCGTGCCTAGTGATGCCAAGACCCCTCTAGGGGTTCAGCAGAGGTCCTCAAAACCCTATCCCTCTTGGACCCACTTCTTGCACCAAAGTTTAGAAAGATTTCTCAAGTCTCAACCTCTGCTCTTGAAAACCAGGCACAAACTAGCTGCCTTCTTAAAGAAGCTCCCCAAATATTCCTCTCATTCAATTTATTTTAACATGTTCTAATTAAGCCTACTAGGCGCTGTGGGAGACAGAGAAGTAAATGGCAGAGTCGTTGCTCTCAAATTTCTGTCTTTTTTTTTTTTTTGAGATGGAGTCTTGCTCCGTTGCCCAGGCTGGAGTGCAGTGGCACAATCTCAGCTCACTGCAACCTCCGCCTCCCAGATTCATTCAAGAGATTCTCCTGCCTCAGCCATCCGAGTAGCTGAGAGTACAGGCGTGCATCGCCACGCCTGGATAATTTTTGTGTTTTTAGCAGATGCAGGGTTTCACCATGTTGGCCAGGCTGGTCTTGAACACCTGACCTCAGGTGATCCACCTGCCTCGGCCTCCCAAAGTGCTGGGATTACAGGCATGAGCCACCGCACCCGGCCTCAATTTCCTTGTAATTGGTCCTGGAAGAATCGTTCTGTGGGCTGATTCAAGGGATTCTATTAATCTCTAAAATTAAGTCATGGGCAATGCTGTCCAAATCTTGGATGCCCAGACAGGTGTGCCCTCAAGCAGCATTATCATCAAACACCCGGTGACCAAAAGGGAGTGGTGCAGAGAAAGGCAAGTGGATTTAGGAGGGAGCTGCAGGTACGGGATGCCAGGAGCACACAGGTCCTTTTCCCTGGGGAGCAATCCTTTTGAGTTAACCCCTTTTCCTTTCTGGTGCATTCCTTTTTTTCTCAAGCAGGCCTACTCTGTACCTAATAGTGATTCTCCTGATCTTTTCCCACTCACTCTCCATTCCAGGCTGAGTCTGGGAACGCTTATCCTTCTTAGCCTAGGAGTTGCCACCACTTGTGGTCCTTAAAGGCTTGAGGCTTTGGATGATACCCTCATACAACCAGCAGATGGCATCAAAACCTTCCATCCCTCAGCTCAGGACATCTCCCAGTTTAAAGAACCTACTCAGATCTCTCCAGATGGGTCTACAAAAAGATGAGTGAGCTGTCAAGACTTAAAACAGGGGTTGTATCTAGGCTTTGCAACCTAAGAGCTACACAGTCTTAGCCAAACTGTTTAAACCTTTCCGACCCTCAGTTTTTTCATCCATAAAATGGGCTGTTACCTCCCAAGAAGTTATTAGGGTTTACAGTAACAGAGGCAGTGTCTATCACAAGCAATGCACACAGAAGTAGCTCCATAAATGTGAGCTATTAGTATAACCACCAAGTGAGGTTTCCCAGATTACCAGCAGGGTAGCTGACTGGTGCCCAGATGAGAGAGGAAATTGCAATGCTGAGGAGGCAGCCAGCGCTGGGTAGCACTACACGGCCAATGCCCTTTTAACATTGCACTGCTAGTGACAGGTGCAGACAGTAGCACAATGTGAAAAGAGCTCTGGCCAGCAGCAGAGGCACGCCGGCCCTGCCTCCTCACTCCTTCTCCCAGTCCCCGGCCCACTCAGCTCACGGGCTCCCTCTGCCCCTGCTTTGCTTCAATACAGCTTTTTTCCCTTTTATTCCATTCTTAGTGTTAATTCTGTTTTTTCAACACTCTTCCTTTCGCCTTCTTCCTCACCACAGCTCCCCTGCCCCCAGCACAGAGACCACCTTTTTCTTGGAGGTTTTGGGATGGGAGGTCAGGACCCACTAAAGCAGCTGCAGGGATACGTTGGGCTTGATGCTCAGTCCTCAAAGAAAATGGTTATTAGCAATCCCCAAAGTCTGGAGGTCACTCGCATGAGGCTGTGTTCATCTGGATTTGCATTTCTGCCAGCTTCCCTTCTAGAGAGGAGCTTGCTGCCCAAGACTACAGAACCTTCTACTCTTATCTAAGTTTCCATCTCCTTTTCAATTTAGATAAAGGGGAGCTCTAGGCCTCAAGGCAGCACTCTCAGATGACCTTCCAGGACCAGAGAGGTGGGAGCCGTGAGTCACAGCTCCCCACACAGTTGAGAGAAGCTTCCAGGCGGGAGGTAAAAGCTGCCGGTGAAGCCCCACCCCTGCATCTCCTTTTGGAGGTCCTGAAAGCACCTTGCAGATTCAGCATTAAAATGGTGAGGGTGATTCCCTCATAGTTACTGAGAGTTACGGATAGGGTTTCACTGGCAGTGGGATTCAAATCTGAGTTATTTCCTGTTTTATCCAGGGACCCTTGGTTGGGGAGTCTTCAAGCTCATCCTAGCACTTCCCCATCCTATCCGACCCTAAGGGGGCTTCAATCCAGGACAAACAGTCCCGGGAGGATTAATACCCAAGGCCAGAAGGCTGCCCTGGAAGGACACCTGGATATCTGGAGGCTCAGACCCAGGCAGGCTCTATTGTGGCACATTCCAGCTAGGGCCACAGCCCCGGAGCCCAGCTCCAGTTCTGACCTGGTGAACTTTGTGCAGCCCAAAGAAACAGAGGCTGGAGGGTGATTCCTCCAGTGCCCTGATCAACACAAGGCCTCCCAGGCAACGGTGTGGCCTCTGGGAGATGCCCTCTACCCTACTCCACAGCCATCATAAGGAATAGAGGACAGAATTCCAGTTGGAAGCTCTTCCTCTGGGCTTCCCCTCTAGCCTCGTCCCACCCCCTCAGGAAGCAGGAGAAGTTCCCTCCCGCCCTCCCAGGCAGAGTTTTTT